AAATTTAGAAAAAAAAAAGTTTTTTTTTTTTTTGAATCAAAACCCGCTCTTTAAGAACTTACGGGCTGGAATTATGAAATCCGACCAGCTGGACCTGAAGATTTTGCCAAATGCTCTTAATCATCATCCCAGTAATTACACAAATACAGAAACCAGTGGCAAAGGGACAGCCATTTAACAAAACACTACATTACTGATACTGGGGATTCAGAGTATGAAATATATCAACAAGTGGATGTACTCCAACAAAGTTCAGAAATCATTGTGAAAGGTGCACATAAGGACACACCCTACAAAACATAATCATTAAACTCTTCGCCTTCGTCTTCGTTAGTTCCAGTTTTTCATCACGGCCCGTTAAAATTTTCCTATTGCACAACTAAGGTCATGCCATGATAGTAGCGACATACATCGGGACAACGGACAAATGCAACCTCGATAGATTCTGGTGATAATGCCAAAACTTATACAGCTATATCTCTAAAACCCGAAAAGAAAAACAAAACCCGTAATTTGCTAGGAGCTTACTTGGGGTTGTAGTAAATGCTGAAGACGCTTTTGGAAGATATGGAAGGAGCTACTTCAGCAAAATTCCAGAGATGTAAATTCTGAGTGGAAAGAGGTGCAGCTCCTTTGATTTGGGCAGCCCTTCTAACTCCAAGTCTCAGTTGGCCATCGTCCCCTCTGGATTAAGCATACATTATTACGAATCTACGATCTTCAACAATGAAAAAAAAACAGAACATAAAAAAAGACATGGATATGTTTCTGGTACAACCTGAGGAAAAGCACAGCATCTCCAGAGACAAGCTTCTTCTTATTCACAAAGGCACTCCAACCAGTAGTGAGCAAATGCCTTCTAGGTTGTCCTGTTTGGCCAAAAGCAAGAAACGAAAAACAGTTCAATATCGAACAAGCAAAGTTCTTACCGAGATTTAGCAACATTGATAAGGACTTTAACGATTCGAAGTACCCCGGTAAATGTGACGAAATCGCCATTCCAGACCATGTAGATCCCGGGCAACGAGCTCTTGGGAAGGCCGTGGTTGGCTGTAGTCCTACATGATCAATCTGTTTAATACCCAGATGGTAAAAACTTGCACACAAGTGATTTTCACTCGATCATACCGACATTTGCATCATAAAGTACATGCTATATTCACTGAAGCATAAGCAGTACCACCATGAAGGTCTCATCAGCAAAAAACACAGAGAAAGATTTTCACTTGAAGCTTTACCAGAGGAGGGAAGCAATCCTCAGCAGCACGACGAGGGACAGAGAAACCTCCATGAGTGCTGGTATCAGAAGCAGTGAGGGTCTTGCAGAACATGTGAGGTGTGTTTGATCTCTTATGCACTTCATAATCATCTTCTCCTCCATCTATCTCCACGCTTCCTTTACGCAATCTGTGCTCAATGTCCTAACAAACATGCATGAAAAACTCTTCATCTCAATATCTGTCACATAAGTAAGCTCTTGTATCTGAATTCAGGCAAAGGATACTATTACTCACCTCAGACTCAGGGAGAAGAGAGACTTGAGCATAAACATCATCTGTAGCTGTCTCCGCCTAAGTAATCAAATTCAACACAAAATCACAAAGAACTGAGGCATTGTAGTCACAGATGATAAGATTGGAGACGCAGAAGAGGCACAAGGTGCAGAGAAATTTGATCACCAGAATACTATAAGAAGCAAAAGAGAGTGGAGCAAAATGAGGAAACGTTTTCTATATATGTAGAGTTGGTTTCCGTTTCTCGTTTTCCAATACAAAGAAAAGAAAATTGTTGCCAAGATTTTCTCGCTATCCGAACAGAATCTTGAACATTCCCAGGACAAAAAAAAATGTAAACATAAATTCCTAGGTCAAAGAGAACCTAAAACAAATTCGATGGAGAGGTTTCTCTGTAGGAGATTGAACAATTGAGGGGCACAAATTTCCATACTCCTACATTCCAAAAAGACCCAACTCAGATTCTCCCAGAAAGCATGGATAATTTCCGGGAAAATCTAAGAATCGGATGAAACCCCATCCAAGAAGACCTCGAGAGCAACACATATAAAGCAAAAAAAACAGAACAAAAACTCACATGAAGCTTGACATCGAGAACACGACAGAACACGTGAGGAGTGAGACCGTAAAACGCGGCGGAGAAATCGGGGGCTTGTTCCAAGTGCCCCTGAGGAAGATACAAAACAAGGCTTCCTCTTTTCGGCAGAGAGATTAGTGGTCCCGCACAGGCATGCCACAGCTCCATACATACCCCCGAACTCGGGGAAGGAGAAGAAGACGAAGAACCGTTCACCACATAAGCGGACGCAGACGCGAAGGAGGAAGAAGGGGAGAGAGACCCAGAAGCCGACGAGGGCATTTCATCTTCCTCCGTCTCAGCTACGTTCAGATCGATCAAACCACCCATCAATCAGGAGATAGAGAGAGAGCGAGAGTATACAAAAGGAGAAGAGCTGAAGGCTCGGGTTTGTTCATCAATGCATTTTGCGATGTGTTGTGTTTGCGGGGGCGAAAAAGGAGCCTTTTTTGGGCGAGAAACCGAATAATTGAGACAAAAAAAAGTTTTTTTTTTTTTTGAATCAAAACCCCAAGATGTAATTTGCATCAAGATACGATTTTGATTATATGATAATTATATAAAATGAGAAAAGAGAGAGGGGGGTTTATGAGACTGGAAAGCTGACGGAGGAGCAGAGCAGTGTCTGCTGCTGCTGATAGAGTGATGACTGATGTGTGGCTTTTGACCCTTTGCGCGAGAAAGAGCGAGTGACATGGATTAGATTGATAGATAATTTTTACCATTTATATATATATATATATGTGTATATGTGTGTGTGTGTGCGCGCTTTTAATGACTTAATCAATGGCAGTTTTAATAATATTTAGAGATTCATAATTTCGATTCCTAAAATCTATAAACTAAAAACAATGAATATATGAAAATTGTAAAAAAAAAAACAGTTTTCTTTAGAATTTAACTTTCATTATTTTGGTATTCAATGTTTAGAAAATTTGTCAAAGAATAATGATATTCTCATATTGATAGTTTGGACTTTGGATTGAATTTGATTTTTTTTTTTTATTTGATTCATTGTTTTGAGAGAATGAAACACACCCACAAAAAAAACATTAATAGACTTAGATTTGATATTGGATTTAATTTGGGTAAAACATGTTTGGTTTCAGTTCATTTGTCAAATTGTAATTTTAATAGACACGTTATTGATTATACAATTGGTTTTGCGATTTTATTTGTTATTTAATATACGTATATATACGAATAAAAACATATATAACAAATTTTGATATGAATAAGCCGTTCAAGAATCATTTGAATTTTGAACTATTAATGGTATATATTTTCTAAATTCTCCTGTTCAATTACTAGACCAAAACAAATGTATAACTGGCTGTTCATTCATTTTACATTTTGTGTAATTAATTAACAGGTAAAAATGACACCATATTCACAAGCATTATAAATATGAAAAGACTTATCATAGTGTACATACATGACTTCACATAAATGCATGTATTAACTTTATCCAGCTTGCACATGAGTATATATATATATATATATATATATATATATATATATATAACGCATTTAATCGTCCATATAAGTTAAATACAATATATATATATATATAATGAGTTTTAGTTAGCTAATAACTCGCAAATTTGATTTCAGACAAAAAATGATAATAAAAATACACATTTGAAAAAAATATTATATAGACTCAACAATTTTATATTACCGTAATTAATGTAGTATATTTATAGCGCAACAAAAATGGTGAATACACCAAATTGTAGTTTCAATTGAAACATATTTTAGCTACTAGACAAAATGTAAAAATAATATTTTTAATATTGTTATTAAATTACCAATCATGCAAAATAGTAGAAACAGCATTATTCAACGTAAAAACATATACTTGTATTGTATATAGTCTATTGTCTACGTTTTTGTAAAGAGAGAATGATATTCTATATTGTATTCATCTCTTTCTAAATAAATAATTTTTTTATAATTTTAATCTATTAGTTTTAAATATATACATAACGTGAGATATATTAGTACGATGATATTTTTTTTGGGTAACCGAGTTTCCTAGGTCGAGATCCAAACTAATCCTCGGGTTGGGAATCATTACTATTACTAGTACGATCACGTTATTGGAATCATACAAAATACTCCATTAATTTATATATTTGACAAATTAAAAAAAAGAAGATTATTATTAGTATTATTTAGTGTTATGATTTTATCACTAATGCCATACGAGATTCTTCATTTGCATTTTTACTCCTGATAACTTTGAAAATGTTTTAAAAATCCCAAACTTTGATACCACAAATCATTAAATCTTTGATTATCATATATTCACACCGTCGGTCCATCCGTATATATACACAGAGAAAGGACCCGGACAAAACGGGTTCCAAAATCCAAATGCCCAATCGGTTATTTACACGACATCTGATTTCTATCTCCTTTTGGCAACTCTTTCTCTCCATTTTTTTCTTTTTTTTTATATTTTATTTATATGTAGTTATGTATTTGAGCAAATATTGAATACTCCCTCTGAACAATTTGCAGGGAAACCCCACCTTCATTAATGCTTTTATTTTTATTTTTAGTTTCATTTATCTGTTTTTTTTTATATAATCAATAGCATGTTCGTTTGATTGGAAGATTTTGGAATACCAAATTGTTATATCATATATAAAAAGCAATGTTATAAACCCACTTTATAGCTAGGGTGAAAAGTTATTATATATCGGTCGAGCGATGTGACAGTCTACAAACATATCTAGTGGATAAAAACTTTAAATATAAGTTCATAAATAATTATAATTTTGTAAATATTAGCAAATTAAATGATATTTTTAATAAATATTTTTAGATTATATGTTTGAGTTACCGTTAATCCAAATTTAGATCTTATTTAATTTCAAGTAATTTTCTTTGCCAATTCCAATCTCATTTAAATTTTAATCCATAAATCGGATATTTTCACACATTGGTATATATATAACGTGGGGCAAAGAGTTGGTGGTTTTTGTTTTTGTATTTTTTTTTTCTTAAATATAATTTTGCCATTTAGGGGGCACTAAGATATTTCATCATAATTTATACATTATGTTTTAATTTCAGGAAAAAACCTATCTTTTTTTTAAATGTATTTTTGTTCATAAACTATGTTGTAATAAAATCAGAGTACTTATTTTTATTTTTTTCTCTTTGATGTTAAAACAAAAAACATTTCTTTAATTTTTGGGGGCTAAAACTAAAAGTTTCCTTTTTTTTCATATAAGTATCCAACTTTTTTCTCCCTTTGTACATATTGCTATGACAACTTTACAGAATTTTATTATTGGGGATAAATTGCAGAACCACACGTTATTTTACTAAAAATATATATTTTTTACTCTATAATTGTAATATAATTATATTACTGTCTGCACTTACACGTATTGTCCGTTGAATATATGTAAGTTGCGAATATAGAGTTTCAGTTACAGATATTTTGGGATTTTAGTTAAATATTGTGAATGTTTGTTGGTATTTTTTTTTTATTTCTTTCAAATCATTTCATTTATAGGCTTTGGTCTGTCTATTAAAATTCTTATGAATGATATTAATTGATTTTTAAAAAAAATTAAAGGTTAAATAATATCTGCTCTTAAATATTTGTCTATATTCCATCACATTTAACTAGTGGTCACCGTTAAGATCCTTAAAATGATAAAAAAAAATGTTATACATATATATATATATATATATATATATATATATA